AGATGCCCAGCACCGGAGAGCTAATAGGCGCAAGGAACAATTACGCAGTTACTGGAGGTAATTGCACTCAGCTGGTGGTAATTAGGCTCTCCAGACTATAAAAGGAATGCTTGTGCACACACCCCTTTTGCAGAAGTCAATGCATTAACTAATGTTGGAGAACGGTATTGTGAGCTTGGCAGGCTGGATTGCTGCCAAGGCTTGTCTGTGCCATTTTGCTGCCAAGGACCTGTCTGTCTATTAATAAATTCCATAAAGTTTCTTTGGCTCAGAGTGTTTTGGTGTGGGACGAGAGGGGGTCGGAACAGTTAGTATTTAACAAATAGGTACCATCAGTTGCATTGATGCATCTCTCACTCCTATATACAGATAGTTCTTATCTTACAACCCGAGCTTTTGGGCCCTCTTCTACTAAACAGAATCAAGGTGAGGTTCCTTTGAGTCTCTTTCTCGCACTTCCTTCTTTCCCAGGATTGAGATACCTATTTCTCATTTATTTCTTCTTAATGGTTCTTCTACCGACTCTTGCATTCCTTTGACAGCATGATCTCTGCACTCCTTTACACTTACTTATTTTCTCTTCTGGAGTCCACACATTTTCATCAGTTTCCCATTTTTTTCCTCCTGTTTTCTTTGGCTTCCCTGCATGCAAGGAGAAGTTTATTCAAGTAGGAAAGAAAGCAACCTAGCAAATAAAAGATAGTAATTGAGAAACTGATGCATAGAGGGGAGGCCCTGGATAGATAAATGTTAGAGGTATCTTTCTCCCATCTTCGGAAGTCCATGATGCTAAGTTCACTTGTAGAAGCTGCTTGGCCGAGCCTAAGCATCAATTACTCTGCCTGAATATTAACACCAAAGCAAATAATCTTTAAATTACAAGCTCAAGAAAATGCTTCTCTCTTCTTTCTGAAGCTTACCCACCTTTCTCCTTGAGTTTGTCCTCTGTCTCACCCTCCTCTTCCTCCTTGCTGCTGCCTCCTCCTTTCTTAGGCTTCTCTGATCCAGAGCAAAGACAAGAAGTGTTAATATTGGGCACTGAGATTCCCTACAGTGCAGATTCATTCTTTCTCAAGTTCTTGTTTGTTGGGGCAAATGTACAAATAAGGAAGATAAGTAAAGCAGTCTGGTGGAAGTGCAAAGCCAAAGTGGTGGCTTACAGTTGATGATCATGCAGCTGTGCTAATTCATAGAAGACATTATTGGGGCAGAGTTTCAGGGATGCCAATGTTGAGTCCCTTCCTTGCTTGAAATCGGATAGGTTGGGAACTCAACTTGGGATCTGCCACATCTCGGGGTTCAACCAGTTCATCCAATTCACATTCCTTCCTAACAACCACCCCCCTTCCTGCAGGCTCAGACCAACCCGGTTTCCATGTCCTCATTTGGTTTGAGTTTCCCCTCATCTATCTCCATCTCACCTTCATCTGTTTCGCTGGGGAATTTTTTGGGCTCCTGGGGAGGCAGTCCATAATCCACTACAGGGGGAAATGAAATCAGAAATGCAGTTAAAGGAGCATTCAGGGTCTCCATAGTTTCACCATCCTTTCAAACTGAGCCATTCGTTCATGATAGATATATTCACAGAGATTTTTTCAACATGGATCTTTTCAGCATGATTCAAAGCTGTCTCCATAGCCTAGATGTTCTCCAGAAATATGGACTTTCCAGAACTCCTAGCCAACATGTTAGGAACATTTGGAATGAGAATTTTCAACATATTTGTACACTATTATTTTGGATAAGGCTAATCTACAGTAAAGATCATGGTGCAGCAATCACATCTGGACTTGACCATTTCAGAAACTTATTGTGTATTTCTGAGAAGGCAGAAAAAAGTGGAGCAAATAAATACTCCATTATATAATCATTAATTTAACTTTTCTTCAAATCCTAAAAGGTTAAGTTATCCAGGCCTTTCTCAAAGCTATCAGTTTATTCCATGACCAAGTAGAACAGCCCAGTATGAATAAAGAAGTTTAAAGCCTATACTGTAGTCACCTGACTGGTCTTCAGAATGTGGAGAAGGTGAAGAATATGGCCTTCTTCCACTCCATGGTCCCAGCAAAATCAGTTACAGAGGGAAATTTTGCCAGCAGGGAAAGAAATAACACAACATTCTCTCTTGCAATTGCTCAGCTCTTCCATATTAATAGTTTCATAATAAACAAAGAAGTGTACATAAAAGAAAATTCTCGGGCTCCTTTCCAACTGGAGGTTCAAGAATACCAAAATGGATGTCCGTTTCTTGAAGACCAAGGTGACCCTTCAGATTTATCTCTTCTGACAAAGGTCCACTATAAACTTGCTGTGTTGGGAAGTCTACTGGTGTACATTAAAGCAGCATCAGGACCCATTCCTAGCTGAAAGGGGGCAGTCAACTGAGGAATGTCTCTGCATTGTTTCATCTATGCCATTCTTCCTCAACCTGGATGGGACTCATGGCCAGCATAGCTGGGAAGAAGAAAATTGTAACCCCACAAATCAGTCAAGCACCAATAGGGATAATTCTGCTCCAAGTCACAGGCTTGCCTAAGAACTCTAGTGATTGGATTTGGATTTGGATTTTATTCAATTTGTAGGCCGCCCTATTCCCCGAAGGGACTCAGGGCGGCTGAACAAAAGCCAAGGGAGGGGAAATTACAAAAAGTGAGACAACGACAAACAATACAAACAGTTTAAAAGCACAACAGACACAGCAAATTCGAGTAGAGGTGGGGGGGAACTCAACCAGCCAGCCAGCCAGCCAGC